TATGTTTTATATTCAGTTAATATATGATCCGATTAGTCGACTAATCGAAAAAATAAAAATAATCGGTGATTAATCGATTATAAAAATAATCGTTTGTGGCAGCCCTGTTGCAAACTCGTATGAAAGCAGGAAGAAACGCTTTTGGACACCTGGTGCAGTTTGAAAACTTCATCTGTTGTCTAAGTAGGRTACAAAGTGCATAATGCTGCTCAGTGGGGTAATCAGCCCGGATAAAGAAGTGTGTCAACGCTCTGCCAGGCAAATYGACCGAGTCTGCAGGGAATCACAAACACGTTTCCTTTTCCAACGAAGCTGAGCAAACGATAGGATTTAAAACAGATCTGTGACGAGATGATAAGCTCTGCCCCGCCCAACATGGCCGACTGCATGAGTTATTACCAGAGGGATTATTAGTTATGTGACATTTATCCATTCATCACTCTTTGTGTGACATGTTTACAGGTTGTATTGATCTGCTCATCTTTCTGATGTTTGTCACCTTAAAGACACACAGAAAACCTTTTGTTATGTTTTCAAGGGAAAGTTAGTTTCCCCTTAGCAAAATGTATACTTGAAGTTCATTTGAATAAGCATACTTGAGTTTAAGTTTATCAAGTATTCTAGGCACCATGTACTTGTAGTGTACTAGGAAGTATACTAATTTAATAGTAATTCGTACTAAATAGCTGGTTTCAGTCACGTGGTTTCGAAGGCGGAGTGATCTCCACTGGAGGGCAGGAGGTGAAATGTCTATGGCGGAAACTACTGTAGAGTATGTATGGATTTAGATCCTATTTCAAGATATATAACAACAATTTGTTCACAAATATGTCAGACATGACTCATGATGAAGATGAATGAGTTTTCGACAGAACCTAAAGATTTGCTGAGGCTGTCGGTACCACATGTCTTACATCACCAGGTGCCAAATAATAACCAGCAAAAGCTTTCTGACAAACACTTCCGCACGATTCTGCCCAACACTATGACAACATATGATAACATATGATAACACTGATTATCACACAAAGATGAAAAATGTAGAAAGCTCACAGAACGACAACGTAAAAAGTAGATTTTAAACCGTCTGCAGTCAGGAGGAGCAGGATGTCGGTGTCTGCAGACATCACTACATCAGTTAGCTGCTAACTTGTTTTAGAGTTTATCTTTATAATGATTGTT